TTATCAATTGTGATTTCCTTATCTATTTATTAATTTCTTTATATTTTATGATTATATTATCTAATGTAAATATATCTCTTTCAAATATATAATATCATAAGGGAAATATTCTTTATTATCTTTCAATATTTTTTTTATATAAATAAAATAAACCAAAACATAATTATCTATTTTTTAATGGTTTACCTTAGATACAAATTTTTATTATCTATTTTTTTTACCTCTCCAAAATTTTTTATGATTGTTTATCTATTTATCAAAATATCTATAAAAAATCTACAAATATATAAAATAGAATATATTTATTAAACTGGATGGCTAGGAAAAACTTTTAGAATTGTTTGATAGAGATATTGTTATCACTTTCCTATATTTAATTATCCTAGCAAAATATCTCTTTCAATTTATCATCTTTTTATACTTTAGAATTTAATTTAATTTTAAAAAAATGATGAGAAAGTTAAATATAATTTTTATCAATTTAAGGGAAATGTTTATTTTAAGAGCTAAAATAAATCTAAAATAAAATTTATGAAATGATTATTAGTAATTTAGTTCAATGCCAATAAAAGTTTAAAAAAATCATTATAAATTAAATAATATTTTTTCTCTTATCTATTTGATACAAATTATAATTTAAACTTTAATTTATATATTGTAAGCAATAGTTCATATCTTTATAACTAACAAGTATAGGATTTTAAAATAAAAATAAAAGAAATAGTTCTTCTCAAATCCAAATTATATTTTACATCTTCGCTGGAAGTCTTTTAAGATATATCTTTAAAGTATTCATACTATATTAATTTATATAAATGATTTGTGATAAATGATTTATATTTCAGTGCTAGAATAATTTTAACGATTCATATTTTTTTCAAAAAATTGAAATTAAATATAAAAATAAAGATAAACATAATAGATTAAAAAAGATAAGTCATTACGAAAATTATATATATATATATATATATATATATATATATATATATATATATATATATATATATATATATATATATATATAGTAAAATAAATAATAAAAGTAAAGAAAGCATGACTTAAATTAAGTGATATTATTTTAGTTTTAAAGTAAAATATATCACATTAAAGAAAAACAACTGTCTTCCAATATATTATATTGTAATATATAATGATATATTTATAGTCTGATGCATTATCTAATGCATTATCTATTATCTATTACTTCTTAATTATAATGATATTGATTATCTTAGCATATTACGATAAAATTATAGAACGGTGCATTATTTATTATCTATTACTTCTTAATTTATTATATTTTTTTCATGCCATAAATGAAGTATGAATCTCAGTAAAAATAAAAAGAATAAAAGTAACGTTGTGAGAATAAAGTGGCATTTTCATTAACAATTTATTTACTTTTTAAATAAAATATATTATGATTTTAATCGATCAATATTTTTATTAAAGTTTTCACTTATTCCTTTTATTTTCTCAGTTAAAGTCCAAGATTAAAGAGGACGGGAAAGAATTTATAAAATCATCCTTGAATGAACAAAGGCTCAGATTCTCAAGAAGATGTCCTATTTTTTATTGGTTGAAAAATCAAGAAATCAAGTTTTCTTAAGAGGAAGAAGCTCGAGAATGAGCTTTATATTTCTTTAATTAATGTAAATATTTTATTAATCTTTTTCAATACATATTTTTTTTTTAATTTTCATTCTTAATTTTATTTTATTGTTTCAGTTAACTTAATATAAATTTAAAACGTATCATTTGTTTATTTTTTTAAATATTTTTATTCCAAGATGTAATATTTTAAAATAAAAGTATTAATTTATAATAAGATTTTTATATTATATATGTAAGTAATCCTTAATGACATTTATTTTATTATTTAATATAATATTTTACTGATTTAGTTTTTATGTTACACTCTCTGGTTTAAGTGACTAAAGTCACATAACTGTCTTAAATAATACTATGACATGTTTTAGTTAATACAATGTTTTGTCTCACATCTCATTCTTGCCAATAAAATCACTATCACAAGAAATAAAATATAAAATTTAGGTTTAATAACCAATTTAGTCCCCACTTTGGTTGAAAAATCTCAATTTAGTCCCTCGTTATAAAAGTGTTTTACATTAGTCCTAACTTTTAAAATAGTGGGTCAGATTGGTCACTTTCGTTAAATATAAGTTAACGAAATTAATGGATGATGATGTGACACAGCTTAAAGCTGATGTGTTAGATTGGTCCCTCGTTAGCTTTAAGTTGTGTCACATCATCATCCATTAATTTTGTTAACTTATATTTAACAGAAAGGACTATTTTAAAAGTTAGGACTAATTCAAAACACTTTTATAACGAGGGACTAAATTGAGATTTTTCAACCAAAGTGAGGACTAAATTGGCTATTAAACCTAAAATTTATATTGTAAAATTAAAAACAATAAAAATTAAAAAATAAATTCGATAAATATAACAGAGAAATTGGTAACATAATTATATAAATGTCAATATAAAATGGTAATTAAGACATAAAAAATTTAACAATATTAAATTAAAAATATTATATTCATTCAATTTTTAAATTTAAAAATAAATAAATATTAAAATTTAAGATATAATAATTCCAATTTTACATTAAATTATAAACATATTTAATTTTTTTTAGTATGTATACACGACAATAGCTAAAAGTTACACATTTATTTAATTATTTTAAGCATTTGTGAAATTGAAATAAAATTAACAGTTATTAGTTTATCACGACAATTTATAATTATGATTTATAATTTAAAAGTATTATTTTATCATACATTTTAAATATAATATAATATGATTTATATATTAATAGTTATTTATTATTAATTTTAGTTATGAAAAAAAAATTATTCCAGATTTTAGTTCAACAAAATAAACATTCATCATATGAATTATACATTATAAATTATAGTTATTAATGATAATACAAATAAGGGTTAAATATGTTTTTAGTCCCTTAACTATCACGTGATTTTATTTTATAATAAGGAAACTAAAATTTTTCGTCCTCCAAAACCAACAGCTTTAAAAATAAACTGAAGTGACGACAGTGTGACATGTCATTTTTTGTCTGACACCATCAATCTCTCCCAGCTTTTCTTCCTCCGTCTCCTTCCTTGCATCTTTTACTCCCTCCATCATCTTCACCAAATCCTTCAAATAAAGAAATCAATCAACCTCATAATCCATGGCCGCAATCACCATCTCATCCTTTCTCAACCATAAATATAACGTTAACTTGTTTCATCATCGTTGGAGTAATGTGGTTGATTATCTATGAATCAGTTCCTTTCCATCTTTATACAAAAATGTTGATATATGCTATGAATATTTTCTTTGGATTAATGTGGCTTCATTGTACTAGAATCTTTCATTTAGTTACTTATTCATTTTTCCTTATCAGCACTTCTACAGTTTGCATAAAAAAAAAAACTGGTTCCCTTTTTCGCAACAATCAAGTCCAAACGTTTCTAGGTGCTCTTTTGTGGTCTTTTTTCAATAAATTTATGCAATTGTTGTTGTTTATAAGTTACCAATTCCAGTATGATTCCTTTTCATGAATATGACAGTTTGATGGGAGAGATAAACTGGAAGTTGAGACAGATTAGAAACAGGAGATGAATATGATTTCATGTATGAACTAATATGTTATTCCTTGAGAAACTGTTATTTGCTATTACTAAGAAATTGCTGAGTTCCAATTGTTCCTCTTGTGTGGTATTTTATATTTTTCATAGGAAATAAATATTGATTTTGCTTCTCGTCTATTCTTAATTTTCCAACAACATTGTTCTACTTAACTTGTCATTGATTAAAGCTTAAATTTCAGAATGCTTACAATGAATTAAAGAAAAAAGAAGTTGAAATGCTCTGTACTGAAAACTTTGAGCAACCAGAGAATTATTCTGATTCAACGGATAGCATACAAGAGACCCTACACAATAATCGGCATGAAAATGAGCCAAAAGTAAATTCCAAAACAGTGGAAAATAATACAGAGAATAGCAGTACAGATAAGATAAAATCTTCAAGAAACTAGACAAGATTCTGCATTGTCCTCGATGCAACAGTTTATACTTGGACGATGATGATTGTTTATTGAGAGGAATGTTGATTAAGCATAATACGAGCGGGTGCTGAGGTACTTGACGAGGACGGTGATGGAAAGATTTCAGCTTGTAAGTTGAGGAACAGAATAGGGATGCTGGGTAGGGAGGTTGGGTTGAGAGAGGCTGAGATTGTGATTGCGACGGTGGATTCTGACCGTGATGGGATTCTTTGTTTAGAGGATTGAGTGAAGATGCAAGGAAGGAGACGGGGAGAGAGGGAGAACATTGGGAAAGATTGAGAGTGTGAGAAAAAAAATGACGTCTCATATTAGTCATTTCAGTTTTAACGTCGTTAGTTTTGGAGGATGATAAAAAATTATAATTTTTTTTAAGGAGAATGATGAAAGTGTACCAAAAAAATCGCGTGATAATTGAAAGACTAAAAACATATTTAACCATAAAAATAATTACAAAGAGAATTTATACGAATTTTTATTCTAAGAACTAAAATAAAATTTATAAAATAATTATTTGTTAGTTTAGTTAAATGCTAATAAAAGTTGAGAATTTTTTCATTATAAATTAAATAATACTTTTTCTATTATGTCATTCGATACAAATTATAGTTTAAACTTTAATTTATATATTGTAAGTAATAGTTTATGTCTTTATAATTATTATTGGGTTTTAAAACAAAAATAAAATATTGCCAATAAAATTAGTGTCACAATAAATAAAATATAAAATTTATATTGTAAAAATTAAAAGAATAAAAAATAAAATCGAAAAATATAGTAGAGAAATTAGTAGCGTATTTAAATAAATTTGAAAACATATGAAGTTAAAAAGATGGTATATGAATAGAAATATTAAAATATTAAAATATCCAAAAGGGTTGAACTGGCCATGCTTACCTGGAGCGCACTAGCGACGTTCATGATTCAGCCGTGTATTGAGGTGATTATTGAACATGTGTGCATCACTGAATGGTCACCATTACTGACCAGCTCGTTACTCAGCTCAACCTCAATCTCACTGTAAGAGACCTAATCAGCGTTTTCATTATCCAATTCTTCCTTGGATTGAAACATTTGCTAGCAGAGAGAGAGAGAGGGATGGGTCACGAACACTCCAAACTGTCAGAACCAAAGGGATCGCGTCGTGCTCGCTTCAAAGAGCGTTTGCGTCGTCACCTTCACCGCCGTCAAAGCGGCAACGGCTCTTCCGCGAACAAGCCACTAACTGCCGATAGCTTCGCCGGAATCGCTCTCCTCGCTCTCCTTAGCGTACGCACATTGTTATTTCTTTTAATCTTCCATTTTCTGTTTACTTAATGAACGCAGCTGCTGCTGCTTCTTCTTTTTCTGTGTTGCAGGCGGAGATGGAGTTCAAAGATAAATGGATTGCGTGCGTTTCTCTCGGAGAACAGACTTTTCGTACGAACACCTCTGATAGGTTTAGCTCTTCATCTAACCACTATTTTTCAATTCTGCGACGTCTATTCCTTTTGTTAATAGTTTGTGGGTTGTGTATTGATTTGTTTTATTATTGTTAGTGCAGCACAGACAAACCAGTTTGGAACTCAGTGAGTGCTCTAAACCGTTACTGTTTCAAATTAAGTATGTTTGCTGAAAAGGTGTTTCAAACTATGTTTCGTCCATATGACTGGCTTTTTCTTCTACAGGAAAAGAAACTTCTTTTGGAACAGAATGGGGCTCATGTTGCAAGAGTTTCCGTCTTCGAGGTATGCTAAAAGAATTAGAACCTTTTAGTCTTTTACTCTAAAACATCTTTTGGGGGGATGTCACTTTTGTCAGATTAAAATGAATCTTGCACGATATTTCTCCTGCATTTCATGAGCATTTTTTTGTCGGTGTCCCCTATTTTTTAAAATATACTGTACAGAGTAAATTTTTTTAAATGTTTTCATTCTGCATCTCCTGTTGCCTATTTTGTTTGTGAATATAAGTTTTATATTTTTTTTTCACATGTAGACGAACAAACTGTCCAGCAATACTCTTGTTGGATACTGCGAGGTTGATCTACTTGAATTTCTGACCAAGGTGAGGAAACAGAAAAAATAGAGAGTTTAGAATTGTTAATATATTGGTTTATTCTTTATTGTTTCAGCAATATTCATTGTTGTGAACGATATGATCATGCAGGATTCTGATTCTGAGGCTGAGGTATTTAACCTTTTAGATCCGTCAGTTCCTGGAAAAGTGGTTGGCAAGATTTCCATTTCATGCTCTGTAGAGGTATGTATGGCTTATGATATAAATTCTAATATTGTTTGAGTATCGTAGGGGTTTCTAACTATAATAAGCGCATGCTAACAGGATCCAATTGAAACGGAGAAAGGCTTTGTTAAACGCATTCTATCTATAGTGGTAAGTTTGATCTCCCTCTGTTTTTTGATAACATGTGCCAAATGTGGGGCTTAAATAAAAAGACATATGAAGGTAACGAAAAAAGTGATGATGTATAATTTCATTCCTTTACATGAGGGTACTATCATGATATTAAGCCACATTATGACTGTGCCTACGAGTCCTTGTTTCAATATTCCACATTAGTAAGATGTTGTACAAATTGCAATAACTGATTGAATACATACCAGAGTATTTGGAATCTACGAATTATGGAAAGCACAACATGTAATTTTTTATCATCTATGTAATTTGAATATTCTGTTCTCATGTTGCACTGTCTAACATTTAATATCAACCTGAGAAGTGATGTTTGATGCAGGACTACAATGAAGATGGAATGCTTTCACTTTCTGAATTTTCTGATCTAATTGATGCTTTTGGCAATGAAGTTGCAAACAGCAAGGTTCATACCTGAGTGGTTATTTTGCACTTAATATGCTCACATTACCTTTTGTTTATGAATTATTTTCTTTCCAAACTAATTTGCTTGTGTACCTGGTTTTCATTTCTGAGTCTGATTTGCCGTCCTTCTATTTTGGAGTTCTATACTTTACATAAACCAGTGACATCTTGATTGTTGGTACTTAGAACCTGGAATTTGGTTATATTGAAGTCCAAATCTTCCCTGCAAGCTTGTGTGGAACTCTTGGCTGAAATAATGAATCTATACGCTGTGCATATTGAAATGGTGTTATAATATGATAACTAGTTTTATATGTGTACAATTTTTACTCTATCATCAATACATTATTTTTCACCAGAAAGAAGAGCTCTTCAAAGCAGCAGACAAGAATGGAGATGGTGTTGTGAGCATGGAAGAGTTGGCTTCACTTCTTACTTTTCATCAAGAACAGTAATGTCCCATCTAAATTACAAGTGATAAAAGTTTTAATTTTGTTTGACTGTTATCTTCTTTTGCTAGAAGTTTGACAGTNGAATTTTTATTCTAAGAACTAAAATAAAATTTATAAAATAATTATTTGTTAGTTTAGTTAAATGCTAATAAAAGTTGAGAATTTTTTCATTATAAATTAAATAATACTTTTTCTATTATGTCATTCGATACAAATTATAGTTTAAACTTTAATTTATATATTGTAAGTAATAGTTTATGTCTTTATAATTATTATTGGGTTTTAAAACAAAAATAAAATATTGCCAATAAAATTAGTGTCACAATAAATAAAATATAAAATTTATATTGTAAAAATTAAAAGAATAAAAAATAAAATCGAAAAATATAGTAGAGAAATTAGTAGCGTATTTAAATAAATTTGAAAACATATGAAGTTAAAAAGATGGTATATGAATAGAAATATTAAAATATTAAAATATCCAAAAGGGTTGAACTGGCCATGCTTACCTGGAGCGCACTAGCGACGTTCATGATTCAGCCGTGTATTGAGGTGATTATTGAACATGTGTGCATCACTGAATGGTCACCATTACTGACCAGCTCGTTACTCAGCTCAACCTCAATCTCACTGTAAGAGACCTAATCAGCGTTTTCATTATCCAATTCTTCCTTGGATTGAAACATTTGCTAGCAGAGAGAGAGAGAGGGATGGGTCACGAACACTCCAAACTGTCAGAACCAAAGGGATCGCGTCGTGCTCGCTTCAAAGAGCGTTTGCGTCGTCACCTTCACCGCCGTCAAAGCGGCAACGGCTCTTCCGCGAACAAGCCACTAACTGCCGATAGCTTCGCCGGAATCGCTCTCCTCGCTCTCCTTAGCGTACGCACATTGTTATTTCTTTTAATCTTCCATTTTCTGTTTACTTAATGAACGCAGCTGCTGCTGCTTCTTCTTTTTCTGTGTTGCAGGCGGAGATGGAGTTCAAAGATAAATGGATTGCGTGCGTTTCTCTCGGAGAACAGACTTTTCGTACGAACACCTCTGATAGGTTTAGCTCTTCATCTAACCACTATTTTTCAATTCTGCGACGTCTATTCCTTTTGTTAATAGTTTGTGGGTTGTGTATTGATTTGTTTTATTATTGTTAGTGCAGCACAGACAAACCAGTTTGGAACTCAGTGAGTGCTCTAAACCGTTACTGTTTCAAATTAAGTATGTTTGCTGAAAAGGTGTTTCAAACTATGTTTCGTCCATATGACTGGCTTTTTCTTCTACAGGAAAAGAAACTTCTTTTGGAACAGAATGGGGCTCATGTTGCAAGAGTTTCCGTCTTCGAGGTATGCTAAAAGAATTAGAACCTTTTAGTCTTTTACTCTAAAACATCTTTTGGGGGGATGTCACTTTTGTCAGATTAAAATGAATCTTGCACGATATTTCTCCTGCATTTCATGAGCATTTTTTTGTCGGTGTCCCCTATTTTTTAAAATATACTGTACAGAGTAAATTTTTTTAAATGTTTTCATTCTGCATCTCCTGTTGCCTATTTTGTTTGTGAATATAAGTTTTATATTTTTTTTTCACATGTAGACGAACAAACTGTCCAGCAATACTCTTGTTGGATACTGCGAGGTTGATCTACTTGAATTTCTGACCAAGGTGAGGAAACAGAAAAAATAGAGAGTTTAGAATTGTTAATATATTGGTTTATTCTTTATTGTTTCAGCAATATTCATTGTTGTGAACGATATGATCATGCAGGATTCTGATTCTGAGGCTGAGGTATTTAACCTTTTAGATCCGTCAGTTCCTGGAAAAGTGGTTGGCAAGATTTCCATTTCATGCTCTGTAGAGGTATGTATGGCTTATGATATAAATTCTAATATTGTTTGAGTATCGTAGGGGTTTCTAACTATAATAAGCGCATGCTAACAGGATCCAATTGAAACGGAGAAAGGCTTTGTTAAACGCATTCTATCTATAGTGGTAAGTTTGATCTCCCTCTGTTTTTTGATAACATGTGCCAAATGTGGGGCTTAAATAAAAAGACATATGAAGGTAACGAAAAAAGTGATGATGTATAATTTCATTCCTTTACATGAGGGTACTATCATGATATTAAGCCACATTATGACTGTGCCTACGAGTCCTTGTTTCAATATTCCACATTAGTAAGATGTTGTACAAATTGCAATAACTGATTGAATACATACCAGAGTATTTGGAATCTACGAATTATGGAAAGCACAACATGTAATTTTTTATCATCTATGTAATTTGAATATTCTGTTCTCATGTTGCACTGTCTAACATTTAATATCAACCTGAGAAGTGATGTTTGATGCAGGACTACAATGAAGATGGAATGCTTTCACTTTCTGAATTTTCTGATCTAATTGATGCTTTTGGCAATGAAGTTGCAAACAGCAAGGTTCATACCTGAGTGGTTATTTTGCACTTAATATGCTCACATTACCTTTTGTTTATGAATTATTTTCTTTCCAAACTAATTTGCTTGTGTACCTGGTTTTCATTTCTGAGTCTGATTTGCCGTCCTTCTATTTTGGAGTTCTATACTTTACATAAACCAGTGACATCTTGATTGTTGGTACTTAGAACCTGGAATTTGGTTATATTGAAGTCCAAATCTTCCCTGCAAGCTTGTGTGGAACTCTTGGCTGAAATAATGAATCTATACGCTGTGCATATTGAAATGGTGTTATAATATGATAACTAGTTTTATATGTGTACAATTTTTACTCTATCATCAATACATTATTTTTCACCAGAAAGAAGAGCTCTTCAAAGCAGCAGACAAGAATGGAGATGGTGTTGTGAGCATGGAAGAGTTGGCTTCACTTCTTACTTTTCATCAAGAACAGTAATGTCCCATCTAAATTACAAGTGATAAAAGTTTTAATTTTGTTTGACTGTTATCTTCTTTTGCTAGAAGTTTGACAGTATTTAGTAATTTAACTGGCCTCTCTATATCATTTTTTATGATTTGATGATTTACAAACTATAATTTATTTGAATTATTTTGAAGTTTTTAGTTTATTTTTATTTTTTATTTTACTTATATAGCTTCTGGTATTGCAGGGAACCATTATTGAATTGCTGTCCTGTGTGTGGCGAGGTTCTTCAGATTTCTGACCGGTTGAACAGCATGATCCACTTAACTCTTTGTTTTGATGAAGGGACTGGTAACCAGGTGATGACTGGAGGGTTCTTGACAGATAAGCAGGCTTCTTATGGGTAAATTTCTTCAAATTGCTGCTAATTTAGGCATTAATGACAGACAGGGTATGATAATCTTTATTGACCTAATGGATTATACCCCAGTTTTATTGACTAGGGTTATGTATTTATGATTTGCATCATATGACAACAAAAAAAATACTTGTTTTTTTCTTTCTGTTTATATAGGTGGTTCTTCAAACTGAGCGAATGGGCCCATTTCTCGTCCTATGATGTTGGAATTCGATCTGGATCAAGTGCATCCCATATCCTGGTATACGATATTTTCCACCAACTTGCTTTTTCTTTTTATTTAACAATTGAAGTACATTTATATGATATATTAGACATAAGTGTATGTTTCGAGTCATTTCAGGATGTAAAGACCTCTTTGAAATTTCTTCTTTGCATTGGTAATACTGGGTTTGCCCAATCACATCCACCAGAATTAGAAGAAAGGCTTCCATGCTTACTTACTAACATATATCATCCCAGCACCCTTTTCAGCTGTTCCCGTATAACAATGTTTGACTTGCATAACTCTTTTTAAATTATTGACAATTTGAATTGTGTTGGCTTAAGATCTCTATACATCTCCATCAAGGCAGTGAAATAAATATATTATTCGGATATCATTGGATTATGGAATTGGAAAAATAGTTTAGAATTTTAATTTTATAATTATAGATTGTTCATTTGTTTGAATTATGCAAATAATTAGACGTAGAATTAGAATTCTAAATTCAATTTCAATTTCCTAATTCTACAGCACTGGCTGTGTGAAAATGGTGTGGAGGGGATGAGAAGTGGGGGTAATGGTGGTAGGGTGGGTGGTTGGGATGTTGGCAGTATGTGTAGCAGTAGCAGAAATGAGGAGGGTGATTTCTCAGTATGGAAGTTAGGAATTGACAAAATTTAGGGTGTTAGTTGACTGGAATGAATCAACTTAGGTACTATGGAATTCCATGAATATGTAATGCAATTGGGATTATGATTCTCTGAGGGAATTCCCAACATAGAAATTAGGAAATTTGATTAAATTCTATCTATGGGTCAATTATGGTAATTTTAAACATAGATGTGTGCCTCTTGACCCTCCCAACTTGTTATTTGATATTAACTTCTTTTGACATCAGGTATATGATCGGAAGTCTCAAAGGCTTGTTGAAGAAATAATTGACAAAAAGATTGTTTTGTCAATGAGAGCCATTTATCAGTCAAAAATTGGCCTTGGCCTAATGGATATAGGTATGATTTTTTTTTACTACTATTAATGATTGAAAGAAGCGCTTGGCTTCGTTTATATATAGCTTCACCAATAACTAGTCGCCACCACTCCCTATTGTGGGCCATGTGGCAGTTGCTGAGGTGTTGTTGTTCGTAGGGTTAATGCTATAGAAATATTGCTTGTTAAAAATTGCTGTACAGATATTACATCCAGCTGCCATTCTTTAAGATGTGTAAGTAAATTATACTTGAGAAAAATACAAAAGAGTAGAAAATGAATTTGAGAGGATGATTTTCTCTCTTAGAAGAGAAGAGGATAGAAAAAGTTATATCTAGAAACTAGTAACTTTTCAATAAATTTTATATACGAGAACTTATTCTAAAAATTATAAATGATGGAAAGTTCTTTGGAAAAGTATTTGTCATAATGAACCTTTATGGCATTCGTATCACTTGAAACCTGCTTTTTTTGGCCAATTTATAGATTCAAAATGGATTTGAATGATTTTTTTCTTTTTCATGGAGTTACTTTTTGTGTTT